ACACACACACACACACACACACACACACACACACACACACACACACACACATATATATATGTTTATGTGCGTATGCCTAAGATGTTGAGTATAATAATGTATAGTAATATATTTTTGTACGTTTATTGCACTGCCCGATCAACGTAATAGTTGTTTAGAGGGTTTGGACTGCCGATCCGTATCAAATATCACAAGGGGAAGCAACCTATGTCATACTGGGTACCTCAAGGGAAGAAACTGAATAAAATAATAGTGAACATTAGAGCACTAGTAATGATGGTAGTACAAGTAATAATGATGATAGTACGCTCTCGTTGTTGCTGTTGCTGTTGTCGTCGTTGTTGCCATCATTTTCACTGTGAAAAGAAATAGTAAAAGTGTTATCAATCCCCAACTCCTGCATAATTGCTCTGCTTTATTGTAATATATATTATATACTTGTCAACTTGGAAACACATGCGTCACTTTTCCCATAAAACTACAACAGGCACAGAGTTGAAAGTTGACAAGTACCTGCAAAAAGATAGATAGATCCCCTTTGACGGAGCCCGATTTTTGATTTATTCATTTCCTAAATTTAGAAAAATATATTTGACCTAAAGTTGCCGTCCTTTGGCCGTTTACGATTATTCCACTGAGAAACTAAACAAATCAACGTAGCTGTCCTTCATAACGGAAGTGCCGGACGTCATATTTCGCGAGGCGCATTTTGTTTTGAGAGTACTGATCTAGACCTTGTAAAGTTTTGCATCTCTCAAGATGTATTGCTCCATTACAGTGCAGTGTAAATATAATAGGCCAATGGCTTTCAGTTGATGTTAATGCACCAATTATTCCTTTCATCCAAAGGGGCCCAGCTAGTTAAGGTATAAAGGTGGTAATGTCAATCGGGGGTGGAGGGGAGGGATCTCATAGATATTGTCACATCAGCAGCAGCTGGTGTCTGAGTGTTCAATAAACAGTTTTGTTGTATTTCTGAGGAATTGTAGCAAAAGAAACATTATTAATCATGGGTGGAGTTTTTCGAAAGTCGTAAATTAGACAGTGTAGAAACAACGTGCTAGAAGAAACCACCCCCTACCCCCAACCATCGATAACTCCCTCCCTTTATCCCTCCCACCCCAAACCACGCACCCCCCCCCCCCCA